GCTCCTTGCGATGCACTGCTTCTATATTCCTAACCCCGTGGGTCTTTGATGACCGGCCAGGGCAAACCATGGAAGCATCAGAGAACCTGGGAGGAGGTGTTCTTACTTGTTTCCTTGCTGTCTAGCAGATCTAAAGTGTAATCACTAGAAGATCGAGTTGGCCGTGGTTTTGGATTAATCACAAGCGATTTTCGTTGTTTTGGGCAGAGACCTGACCCAGGTTGATTGGGTTTCCCGCAGGTCTTTCAAGTGCTGCTGCTCTTTGAGCTGTTGTTGATCCCCAACAATTGACTACTTTGTAGATTGTGGTGCAGTCATCCGCCTCTTTCCATGAGGCATTTCCGTCTGCTTGGGACCTTTCCTCTCGAAATCGAGACCAGCCCATCCCCACGTCGACGGGTGTCCCGAGGTGCTGCCCCGCTCCTTCCGGGCCGTGCTGTACGTGGATCCCTTCGGCTGGGCCAAGCACACGAGAGCCTCGGAGAAGACGGGTGACCGAGGGTGCCGAGTGGTGAAGACATGGGTGGTCGAGAGTCAGATTGCGTGGGCCAAGACAGACCTCAAAGAACCAGACTGGTATGAGAAGAAATGGCCCAAACTTCGGCCAGTTCGCAGGACCGAATGCTTTGAAGACGTTCTTGGACGGTGCGTGACACCGGACGGGCGGGTCAAGGAGAAAATGCTCATCGAGGTGTCATCTTCCCGTAAAGCATGCCGAAGGCCGCGAGCAGAATTTCTACAGCCTTCCGGACACAACGGATATTTTTCCATGACATGATCCTCATAGGTTCACCGGTTCCAGGCAGGGTTACAAAGGTGACAGAGAGGGTGCGGCGTCGCTGATGTTCTTTTTTTCACTCGAAGGTAAGCAGGTTCGATCCAAGTGACCCAGGTTCGCATAAATGGTCGCCACCAAGCACTTCATGAGTTCTTGCTTGGTCCTTTCTTGGAGGTTTTGTTTGATCTTCAGTGGCCCAATCGGTTTGTGTCTATCAGTTCAAGTGGCCCCTTTCTCTCCGCTCAGGACAATGGCTGAATCGCGCGTGGTGCCCGAGATGTGCTCGTCCCCCCGACCGGTACGGACTCGGTCCGGTACGGTCTGGTTCGCGTTGGGCGAGGACGTCTGAGTCGCTTCATTTGGCCATGGGTCACCAGGAAGGGTGAAAACATGGGTCCAAGTTCCAAGCGTGATTTTTTTTGACACGCAAACGTATGCAAACGTGTGGGCGACACGGCGACGCAGTGGCACGAGGACTTCAATAAAAGGACTCGAGACGGTGATCTCACCCCCGTCGGTTGAGGCGAATCTTTCCACCTGAGCTCCCCTGACGTTCCCCCCTGCTGGCACTTTTTAGTACCCTTTTCGCGGGTTTCATCCTTGTGGAGCGAAGCCAGCGGAGCGGGACATCCAGCGGAGCAGTGACCGTCTCTTTTTCCGCAGCGCGCCCAGTGGAAAGCCAGCACTTCCGGGCCGCAGTTTGGCGCTGGGGGCACCCAGCCAGAGCTGTGTCCACGAGAAAAGCTTGAGACTCCAGTCACTCGAGTCGTTTACTTGGTGGGTAGAAGGTCTCCTGACTCAGTGTGTCAGGCCAACCTGGCAGGGTTAAAGAAGTCAGTATGCCTGAACTCTACGGAGCTTTTGAGCTGCCAGGCAAGTTCAACCCCTCCCCCGTATACTGGAGCATGACTTCTATCATCCAGGACCACATCTGTCATGGACCAGTTCGCAGCTCTTGACATTTCTGCGATCTTGGGACCAGTCCCTCTTGACTCTTGACATTTCTGCGCTGGTGCTTGGACCCAGCCGCTTTGAGGTTGGAAGCTCCAATGGAAAGAACAAGCCGCTTGGGCTCTGGGGAGTGGACAGTGGAGCCATGTTGTTCGAGACCCGGAGTGAAGGGTGCATGTGAGAGGCCCTATGCATCAGGTCCTTCGAGTATGCACAGATCTGCAGTAGGACAACCGTTTTCTTCTTGAAGGTTCCTGCAGGACGTCACCTCGCACGGTCGACTTCCCTCCCTCCACGCGATATGAGGGTGATCATTGATCCTCTCAGTGGCCACACGAAATGGACTTCTTACTTTGCTCGCGGACGATCCGCATCAATTTTGATACGACCCATACGTCTTCAACAAGAAAACCACTTTCTTCCCGAAGAAGTATGGGTTCGCCAGTGCAAGACGGTCCTCGGTTCCGTTGTGGGGAGACCCGGTGGGTCTCCCTTCGATCTCGGAGGATCTGCCCACATTGCTCAATGATCCAATCGAAGAGACAAGTCTTTGATCCAAATTCGTTGGTGGCCACAGTGACCATGTTCAAGACTCGTGTTGGGCCTAGATCGGAGACCAGACCGGCATCGGGCACTTCTTGCTAAGGCTTCCAGCAACCCTCCTGGTTGGCCCCGGGCTCGGTGGCGGCATGACGCCCTCCTTTTGCGACGGCCTCCATCACAACGTATATATGGGTGATTCGGTACGATCATCGGTACGATCGGTACGAAGATCGGTACCCCCCAACGGCGCCGTTAGGCAACGGCCCGTCGTGTGTGATGTCGTTGGCCCCCAAAGGGCGGCCGCTCAGGTGCCCAAAAGCCCTTGCGCCCTGAGGATGCCAGGCCGACGGGTGTCCGGACCCGTTCCGTGTTGGGATGGAACTTCCGGAAAGACTGGTCGCCCGGGACCGTGCCTCCACAAGAGGGGGTGTCTATGGTGTCTCTAGGCTGGATTCAGGAGCAGAGCATTCACCATTCAATCACCATTCTTCGACATCGGCATTTGTCCTGTCAAAGTGTGCTTCGCCGGTTTGAGGCGATCCGAGTTTGTGGTGACAGCCAATTCAGTGGGACAACGAGTGGAACGCCCCCTTTTCGCCTGCTGGTACTGTATGCCAGGGTCATAGGTTTCAAGGCATGCTTTGTGTGATGACTCCACCAGGCCAGGGTTGGATGCTGCCGCTGGTTCAAAGGTTGGGAAGAGGATCCCCAACCTTGTTTTGTTGGTCATCCCATCTTCCAACATTTGACAGGGCCGACATAGAAAGACCAGAACCGACGCGAAAAAAATTAGGTGCATGAAACAATGTTGCGGTCTGATGGGAAGATCTACTGGCCACACCCTGAATTTGTATGCCTTGACGGCAAGTTATTTTTTGGTTCAGTTGATGACCCAGCTGAAGACAAAGCACGAAAAGTCATGGATGTTTGCAGATGGATGATCCAGCCATTTTCTGCACAGCTCAGCTCGGGCTTCCCTCACCTGACTTCCAAACCCAGATGGTTGGAAGACACTTCAACCACCCCCAGCTCTCCATGCTCGGTTTTCCCGCGCGTTTTAGTTCTTTCTCAGCCGTATGAGCTGATGGCGAGCTGATGAGGGCAGGGGCCCCACTTCCAGGCAGGGCAGCCGGTATTTGCTAGTTGAGAGGAGGCCTCCATGGGAAGGTGTGCAGTAATATATATATATATATATACACATAATATATAATTTGTAATATTATACATCATATATTATATGTATATATATATATATAAACATTGTTTTATTATTTTTCTATTCATTCTTCAGCAAGGTATTAGAATGTCTCCCTATGCTGGGACAATCCTATGCTCGGACGCATCGGTGCCCTCACCAGTCACTGGTACAAATTTGTCAGTTGGGATTTTTGTCTTGGATTTTGTTGGAGATAGGCGAAAGAAACCCTGCAGATAGGCTCAGGGTTAGTTATTCTAGTTCATGATTCTCCCCAAAAGCTTAGATTCATTTTAGCTCACCCAAACTCCACTCCGCCCCGCAGCTGTCCAGGGGCCCCAGTTCGATGCCTCTGGTGGGCCTCACCGTTGAACCCCTGAGTCGGGAAACCTGGTAGGGCGTGAGGCTTTTGGTGGGCTGTGCATTTTTCTGCAGGCTTTCGATCATTTGGCAGTTTGGCTATGGGCCAAAACATCCAGAGATGGCTGACCCCATGGTTCTGCCAGGTTGGATTTCCACACGCATTTCATATATCGTTTTGGGTGGTTCGGTTTAGGTTTGATCCTCTCTCACATTGTCCTCACAGATTCCCTGTAGTAGCCCGTGTGCTTGGCCATAAAACCACCATAAAATGGAGCCGCGTTTTGTAGCTGGACATGAGCTGCTGTCATTTTGTAGCTGGAAATGAGCTCATCCACCTAGACCTAGAGCTGTTTCTGGACCCATGTTCCTATAGTTGCTCTTGTCGCACCTCCCCGTCACTATCTGCCTGTTTCTATCTGACCTCCCCTGCCCAAGTGCTGCCGTTTTGGGGCCCCAAACTCTCTTTGTCCGCTTTGGACGGGGACGTCCTTCCGAGGCGTGGAGGTCTCAGTGCCGGAGAGTTGTACCGTGGGGCAATGGAAGCAGTTGGTGGGGGATGGATTGCTGGGAGACAAGATCTTGTCGCTTGGAAGCAGCGAACTGGGTCGTCTGAACGTGGTGTGGAGTGAACGAGTTCCGGACTTCAGATGAAGTCTGACTGGTTTTTGTTGGGAACGGTTCAAGTGTGAAGTTTTGCAAGATTAGAGCTGCTCAAATCTTGAGCACCTACGGGCACATAGTTTTGGTGAAAACCGGAACCGGAAGTTTATTCCAGTAGGAGCCAAGCCAAGGCTTACCGGGTGGTGCGGTGGTTTGGGTTGGTTGGTGGTTGAATCTCTCGGATACAACCCAAACGACCCCCAACCCAGCAACTTGCTCGTGAACTCGGACGCCGTGTTTCTTGCTCCACAAGGTACAGTTCACGGCTCCAGTGCTATTGCTTCGACAAGACCAACGTGCTTTTGCTCAACTCCCATGGGCGAATCCGACGACGAAGCGGGTTTTGAGACAAAATCCGTCGCAAAAGGCGACGCCTCGATGGGACGATGTTCGTACGTAGCATGTTTCACCATGAATTTCAAGCCGGTCGAACGTGACATGGGCAAGGAAGAACAGCTCTCTTGTGGGCCTCAAGGTCCAAGAACAGCTTCGGGGAAACCGAAGACGTCGCCCCTTCGACCCGAAGTCTTGACCTTGATGGAGTACTGAGGTGCTGGGTGATGAGGAAGCGATCCCCACCCTTCCACAAAGGCCCGTTTCGACTGGGGAGGACTCCGGGTGGGCCCCTTCTTGATACGGATGGTGCTTCATAGACTAAGCTGCTTAGGGGCGTGGAGGGAATGAGTTGTTTTGATATGAGGTGTTTCGAGTTTTTTGTAGACATTTTCAATTCTCGACTCTACTTGTTCAATTACCAAGACATTTTGAGCCTGGCGATTTGGTTTTAGGGACTTGGTTTTGGTCCGAACCAGACTGTCGCACAAGCGGTCAATAATCCAAGCTTGGGTGCTGTTGTCATCCGGCTGATCTTCTCTTGTTCATATGATATTTTACCTAGGGCCTAGTACTAGAGTCTTGTTGCATAGTTTCTAGCTTTCTATCATGGATCCAATCCTTCATGTGACTGGAGACACAGCAGCCGCATTTTCAGTCAACCAGATCGGGTTGTGCCGCTGCGGAGTCTGTGACGGGGTTCGTCTAGCGGCACTTGAGGATCTATGTCCGGGGGCCCAATAGTGTGGTGAAGATGGTGGAGTTAGCGCTGAACAAGGAGATGCTTGGAAGGCATGTGGTGATTGAACTGGCCTTGGAGCGGAAGGGTGCCAAGCAGCCATGTAAAAAAGCTAATAAAGGCATATAAACGCATGATATTCCCTCCAGCCAAGGGTTCAGTTGGATGCGACATGAACCATCAAGCATTTAAGCCAGAAAGGGCCCTTGTTCTCTCTCCCAACTTTCCAAGAAGCAATCGGGCTTTTGCTAGCTTAGAAGGCTTAGATGTTGAGTTGTCATGCTTTGAAGAGTCTTTCCTAGTCCGAAGCTCTTTTGGAGAGAAGTAGTCACCCATAAACAGTATATAGTATTAGTATGTATTAGTATCATATCCCTGCGACGCTGTACCACAACTTGGTGCCTGAGCTGACATTGTTGCTTCCCTGCCAGAGCACCTTGTTTTCCTAATGATCTCAACATAAGGGTGAACAGCCACGACCATCCAAGCACGCTGAAAAACCAGACGGATTGCCATGGCAGGTCTAGCTTCTCCTCCCGGTTCATCTCACCCGCATCCACCCTCAGGAACGGCAGGCACACGAAGCTGACCCATCCGCCCTACGCCAAAGACTCGGGCCGGCCGCCCGACAGGCCGAACCCGACACAGGCGCCCATTGGAAGGGGAAGGTGAAGGTGACAGGAAAAGAGGCCAAGAATGATGTTGATCATATCGGAGTTTTGTTTCAATCCCCTCGGCCACGCCCAGTTGCCGGTGGCGCCGATGCGGCGGCAGCCGCAGACGCCGCAGACGCCGTCCGTGGAGGGAGGGATGACCATGGCGCAGCGGGTGATGACCAGCGCAGCGATGTGGCCCAAGGACCTCAGCGCCCTGTAGCGTTTGGCCCTTTGACAAGAGCTGTCCAAAAGTGTGGAAGAGAAGGAGGTTTGCTGGGCTGGACTGAGGATTATGAAGGATTTTGGAACAACCTAAACTCTTGAAGGAGCTGACGTAATAGGCGGAGCTCTTTGACATGAAGGCGAAGAATGGATGTTTTCAGTTTCAACCTGTTTCAACCAGCAGTCTAGGACGCGTTGGTCGTTTAACTTTGGATCTTTGGCTCAGTGCAGTTTCGCCATTCGGCCGATGTGGAGGACTCCAACTCGCTTTTGCTGTGGCCTCAGTTCCGACAGGTCGCAAGGGGGTGCTCCAGGACTGTAGACGAGCAATCAATAGATACAGTCTGCAGTCTACTGCGAATGTCACCCAAGTCTCGCATGGAAGACATACTATATTCTATAGGTGATGGTTTCGGATATTTTTATGTTCAACCCTTATATCCCTGATTTGGGGATGATGGGACCCTCCGACTCATATTTTTCAAGTGGGTTGAACACACCATTTGTATATATATATATATATTCTTTTTGGAGACAGTCGGTCATGGTTACTCTTTGGTGTGTCATGCAAAGAATTCCATGCGGTCCGAGCCGGCCCAGCTTGCTGCAGCACACCCCACCAGGTCGGTCTACAGTGCTGGCTTGCAAGGCATGAGACCTTACATGGAGGCGCCCACAAGACGGGGGCCTTCCCCCTTCAGAAAGGGGCTGGGTGGAAACCTCCGGAACCCCCGGAAAACCTGGGCAGATCCACAGACGGGGGCGCGAAGCGGCTTGGAACACGCCAAGGCCAACAAGGCCAAAGCGAAACGAAACGAAGGAAGAGAAGAAACACGTCACGTGGGCGATCACGCTAGGACCGGGCCTGCGGGTACCTCGAGCTTCCTGGTTTCCCAAGCGCCAGCTTCTTTGGAGTCTTCGATGGGCATGGCGGCCATCAGGCCAACATGGGCATGGCGGTTTGCACATGGTGCGGTTGTTCTTTGCACATGGCGATCAGGTTGATTCTGATGAACCCTTGCCTCATTGAGCCTGTTACGATGTAAAAGCAAGCGGAAGCAGTAACTCAGTAACTGCTTCGGCTTTCGTTGTGGCACAAAAGCACTGAGTCAGAAGTCATAAGAGATGCAGATCGGTGGAAGTGAGCCAGGTCGCCCAGCTCGCAGCAGAGAGGATGCCAAGGTGGGGTGGAACTTCTCGACGATGGCCGTTTTTTCCCGGCCGATTCTGAAGGGGAGTAACCATGGAAGCCTGGCTCTTTCTGGCTAGATCCACAGGGTTGTGTTTTATTCTTTTGTTTTTTCATGATTGCAGACGTAGCTTTGATGCGAATTGTGAATTCTCAGGGGGAGAGTGGCCCCCCACTGCTCTCATGGACCTGAACCAACTGCAGGATCCTTGCTGAGAAGCTGAAGGAGGGGACCGAGGCCACTGAGGCTCTCAAGGAGCGCCCCGAACGAGGGCCACTTGATAGGGCCTTGATCTATGGAACGGGAAGATAGGTCCTGTGTACTAGCGATGGCCTTCACCCTACTAGCGATGGCCTCCGACCTACGAGCGATGGCCTCCCACCTAATAAGCAATTGTTGTTCTTGTTGTTTCTTGGGCTTTCAGGAGACCTTCCAAGCGATGGACACCGAGCTGTGCCTCAAGGGCGTCTTCCAACGGATGGGCACCACCGCGGTCTGCACGCTGTGCCTGGGATGGGTGGGAAAGGCCGTGCCGGGCTGAGCCTGTTGGGAAGCCGGTTCAAAAAGCTTGAGAGGACAAGAGGGTGTTGTTTTATGTTTGGGTTGATCATTTTTCACTTCCAGCCTGTAGGTTCAAGACCAGCAGGCAAAGAATTTCTGGCCTTGAGTTTTGGGAAGAGTACACAGTGAGATCATGCAAGTTGGACAAATGACAAATACTTGTACCAGCGTGGATGTATTGATGCGACTTGGAGTTTTCTGCTTGGCCTGGTGAACCGGGAACAAAGAGGCCAGCACAGCAACACCCAGAACCATCCCCTAAGTAGAGTTTGTGTTTCATCCGAGGAATGTTAGGCTATGACATTCATTTTGCTGATGAAGGTGTCGAGACTCTGACTTGCACCCTTTCACCCACGAAACGAGCAGCTTGTACTGAACCTAACAGGGTTCCTTAGCTTCCTTTTTCTGGGCAAGAACAGTCAACTCACCGGCCCTTCCATCAATCTGGACGGTCGAGATGGTCTGTTCTGCGAGCCCGAGCCCTCCCAGGATCCTGCGCGAGAGCGACCAATGGCGACTCCTTTGCGCCAACTGCGGGGATTCCCGAGCCGTGCTCTGCCGGAATCGTAAGGCGCTGGCGCTCTCGAAGGCGCAGTGCTCGCTCGGTTGGGGGGATGCCCGGTGAGATACCTCTCATTGCGGTTGGGGGTTTGCTGAGATTGCAGGGGCTTGTTCTGTTTTTTCAGTGGACAGGGACCGACAGAACAGTCTGCGCGAGTTTCTTGTACTGAAGTCAGTCCCTTTGTTGCAGGACCACAAGCCTCACGACCCAGAGGAGCACAACCAGGGCGTCAAGAGAGCGCAAAACGTAGCTGATCGTATCTCTCCGGGCAATAGACCCAACTTCATCCAACTTGTGTGGATGTAGGTCTATTGCCCAGAAGCGCAGTCAGATGGAGCTCCGTCCACACGCTCTTGTACAGTTTCTTTGGGGATGGATCCAACTCTTGATCCAACAAGCTTGTTCTCTGCAGGAGCGCAGTCGGATCGAAAGGGCTGGAGGACGAGTGGAGCTTCAAGGCCCGTGCTGGCGCATCGATGGCGGTTTGAAGCCCGGCGGATGGCTTGAAGGGAGCTCCCAGCTCATTCCTTTCAAAACCTTTACTTGGGTGACCTGGGCATGTAGCAAATAGGGCGACCTCCCAAAGACACCCTGGAAGAAGGGAAATAGACCAAAAACATACAAAAACCCATTGGTGATGGAGGATCTCCCTATCAAAGTACACACCCATACCGCCCATACATGTCCTTGTAAGGAGAGGGTTCAAAGCCGTTGAGTCATCCGCAAGCCAAAACCACTCACTCTCAGAAGTCAGGAGACTTCCCAACTGAGCTGTTTTTTTTCTCATGAAATCCAGCATGGCCGGCGGGGTCGGCACCATCCTCCAACTGTACAACATGTTCTCCTTTGGATCTTTGAAGCCAGCCCAAAAAGGCAGACGTTCCACATCAGTTGGAAGATCCAGGCGTTTTTTCATGGACCAACACGGAAGACCGTATATCGTAAGCGTTTCAACAGCTTTCGTCGGGAGGAAGGCTGTGACCAGGAAGGTGACCGGTCAACGATCTTTGATGACCACAGTGACCAGTCAGACCAGCCAAGGAATTTGTCTCGGGCCTTGGGAGACTTCCTCTACAAGGTGTGCTCGGAGTCCAGATGGAACGCGGCTGGGAGGGGTTTTCCCATCGCAGACTGGGGCGAAGCTTCGTGTTGAGCCATCAGATTCTTGATTAGTCCCAGAAATGCCAGAAAACCGTCCTCCTTCACGGCCACACTGTTGTTGGGATTCCAGGACAGGTGTTGGAGACACCTCCTTGTCTCGACCTCGAACATGTTGTCTAGCAGCCATGGGTACTGGTACAGAATAATATTACAGAACTAGAAAGACTGGGGCCTGGGGCCTGTAAGATTGAATAGTGGAGGATTGAGGACCCATGGCTGGTGGGGGTCCTGGATACTGATTCACCGAATGTTGAGGATTGAAGCTCTGTGAATCCCAATGAGGACCCAGCCCGGTCCCGGTGGCCTCCCCCCAATCCCCAGCCAATGCCATGGATGGATTCAGCGCCGCGCCGCGCCGGATTGATCACCAGCGATGCAGCGATGTGCTGGAGGTGAAACGCGACTTGCCCGAGGATCAGCAGAAGGCCAGGGAGACCAGCTGATGATGAGGGAAGAACTGGACGACTAGAGGAAGAACTCTCGCGCAAGACGTCCAAGAGGTAGGATATTTCGAGAAGTAGTAAGTAGTGAAGTGAGTCATAAACTCAGAAATAGCATATAAAGTGAAGTTTTCAAGACGGCACCCTGCGGAATGTTTGCGGCACTCGTCTTGATCCCGAATTGCAGGTCATTTCCGTTCCAGAGGTGGAAGAGGCGACCAGTGGGGGTGGAAGGAGGGAGACGAAGGGACCTGAAAAAAACCAGGTCATTCTGCCCATCCGCCCGCCAGCAACAGAGAGGAGGCCAGGCGACCATCCCATATCCATCGATCGATTTGGTGCCTGGTGGTGCCCAACATGGAAGAGGTTGCCAGTGGTGAGGTCATGGTTTTCTGACTTACTGTACCTCTTGTTGCCACAATGAAAGGATATGAACGGCATGTGCAACTTACTTGTAATGTCTTGTAATGACAACTTGTGCACGAGTCAGTTGCAACGAACTAGGCCTACCAGGTGCAGTCTCCATGAGCAGTAGCGTAGTGATTTTATTCGTGAAACCTTCAATTTCTATTCTGAAACTGAGGTATTCCTGGGTGAACATCATATGTTCTGCATCCGCTATAACCGGTACTCCCGCATTCCCAAGTTTTGGATGGGACCCCCCTGTGGGCCCCAGGTGCTTTTGACCGATGTGGACCGCTTCTTAGTCATGGCCAGCGATGGGGTCTTCGAGGCGCCCCCCGAACATCGAACGATCGTGCCCGGTGGACTCTCGTTCTCTTTTTGAACGTCCCGGGTCAGGGGGGGTAGAGGTAGCTAGGTCAGGGGGTTGAGAGTAGATGGCACGTTTCCCCCATGATGTCCTAGACAGATGGGGGTCCATATAAACCACCTATTGGGCTCTGTGCCATCTACACTCAATCCACTATAATACTATAGTAGAGGTAGCTAGTAGAAGCTAGGTAGCTACTAGTTTAAGTTAGCTTGTAGTATGGACCAGGATAGCTCACGCTCCTTGAAGAACTAATGATTTGATTTTTCAGGGAAACTTACAGTAACTATGGAAAGCACTTGTCCTTGGACGAAACAGCCAGCTGAGAAGACCTCTATCACATGCCGCCATGGGGCACGACGTGTCTTTTTGAACCATTTGAACCATTCGGAGCGGGACCAGTCTGTGGCAACGACGTTTACCGGTCTGTGTGTGGATTGCCATCGCGTCTCACTTTTCGTGCTGCCTTCGAGGATCTGCACTCCTCCAGGTCGAAGTGAAGTTCGGAACCGGGGACATTCTGGAACATTCTGGGACTGTGACGTTCTCAAGGTTTTTTTTGCTTCGATCGAATCGCCCAAGACCATGGCTTTCTGAATATCCATGGTCTTTGCCTGACACTAGAAATTGTCACCGACCCCTGGTTGGGTCAAGGAGAAAATCACTGCTTCCGAGAAACATTCACAGGTTCGGGTTGTTGGAAGGTTGTATGTTTGGACGTTCCCTACAACTTTGCTTTCAAGCATTTTAGATATGTTTATTTGTTATCAAACATTATAGATATCACACACATACCCCACCCCCCAGCTGCGCGGCACTGCTGTTTGCCCGTTGCGGCACGGCAGATTTTTAGCTCCGATGAGCTCATCGAAGAGCTGCAGAAGGAGTAGAGTTGAAGAGTTCAGATCAGACCCGAGTTGTCCAAAGAGTATGCCCTTCCGCTCACTAAGAGTACACCTTCCATCCATCCCTTTCATTCCCTAAACCCACTGACTAGGAGGTGTTACTGGAACATGAACATACCGTGGGAGGGGTGTTCATCAGTTAGTTGAAGGGATCTGCAGTGAAGAACCTTCCACAGTTCTGTGGCGAAATGACTATTGAGTACTGCAACCTCTTCGTTTTCCCTCACATCAGCGATCTACATGCTGCTGCTTGGAAGATGAGGACGAGCGTTACGGGCTTGACTCCTGTTTGTTTATGTGCCCGAGTTTGGGGCCTGGACGCACGCAGTTCCATTCCCCATAAGACATGGTTTTCCGGGACATTTTTGGAGCTTCACTTGGCAGCGAGAAGATGTTTCATCATATTCACCAACATCTTCTGTGGGTGACGTAGGGGTCTTCGTGTTCCCGGCGAAGTGGAGGATCCCATGTGTCGTGACTCGTGACCCGAGTGAGGGCACATGTGTCATAAAACCGCGCATCCAAATGGAACATGCAGCTCCAGCTAGGAATCTCAGAAGATTCGCTGCTATTGATGAACCGTCCATGTTCTAGCACACCCCTTTTATCCCAACGATCTCGAGAGAGCTTGATCGATGTGGTCAGGAGAGGAGGCGTGGCTTATCCTCTTGGCCTGCTGCCATTGATAATGTTTTGAAGAGACTTGACAGGTGTAGAAACCTTGACGACCGGTCGTCCACTAGTACGCGTTCGAAAACCGGTCGTTTGTATCCCAACAATCATCATTACTGTTTGCTTGTTTCATTTTTTACTTGTTCTCTACAAACATGTCACTTGAGTAGCTCATGTCGATGGCGGGCGTTCGACCTGAGCCCGACCTCAGGAAATCATGGAGTAGCGGTGACAACGTCACCATTTGCCGGGCCTCCAAGCGGAGTCCAACGTCTCCGGGGCGCCGATCGAGTCGCCTTTTCTGGTTCTTCGGGTGTTCTTCGATCGATGCCTGGAGGAATCTGGCGAAAGCGAAACCCCCGGAAGGAATCACCCAGATCTAATCCAGAGCTGCCAGATGTTCTCCAGATGACTGTGCATCGCGCGCTTGGGCGCTTTCCTGAGGTTTGGTGGAGTTTCTGACCCTCCGGAACCTCGGACTGCCCGTCCACACCGCCAGCACAGCACCGTGAGGGCGGCGAGCGAGCAGACATGCGGGGGTGAGGGTTGGCATGGGCGTGGATGTTGGTTGCTTCGGAGCACTTGCTTGGCTCAACAATGTCTAAGACCACCAGGTTGTGGTAGAGGAAAAGCATGACCGCCTATGTTGACATGTCTGGATTCTTCACTTTGGCCATACCTAATGTAGCCGCTTTGCCGAACGGATACCGAAAGTCTGTGGCCCTTGTACCGCATGTGCGGGTTGACCGATCGGTGGGGTGATCTTTGGGGGCCGCCCCAAAGATCACAGACCAGATCCTCTTAACCCATGGACTCTGGACCCATTGGTTGAGGTTTTCCGTTCTTTCTAGACACGAAGAAGACACTCGTGGGCCATCGTTCTGGGTCTATAGATCCCAGAGGCATCTCTGGTCACACCAGGGGCCCGGCCCGCCTTAAAAGATTGAGATGGAAAGCGAAAAACCATCAAAAACCACATGCCGAACCCATCCAAACCTCGTTGTACAATCGATTCCCGTAGTGTTTCCACCTGGGATGACTGCCTGGATGTCGGGAAGTCGTTCGCAAGTTGATTGGACAACCAATCATTGGCTGCGCCAATTCTTGAGAGATGCAGTTGCAGTCTTGACATCCATGTGCTTCTCCCAGTGCAGAGCTGTTTATGAGCATTTTTTCGGGAATGGGGTCCGGGTCTCGACCCTCTCAAGGCCAACTCGGCCTCCATGAATCCTTCAGGTGTAATTTCTATGAAGGTGCTTCTTCTATGTTGTTCTTCCATGTTGAGTGTGGCACAGGTCTTGACCCAGACCCTATTCGCGCTTAGAGCAGCTGTTAGTTTCAACAGGGACAAGCGCTGAAGACCTTTCGAAGGATGCATGTGGCCAATTGCCTTTACTGGTTTTGCCCGTCAGAGAATCAGTTGGTTCTTGGATAAGATGGAAGGCGACGGTTGTAGTTTGTTTTTTGAGGGTATCCGCGATGGTTGGTTCCTCATGCCTTTTTCATTCGTCATTTTTCCTCGTGTTTGCAGAGGGGTGGTTTAGCTGCTTGGTTTCGGGATTGCTAGGTTCTGCTGTGCTTGAGCACCAAACTTTGTATCGGCGAAAGGTATGATAGCAATCGACCACACTGTGCAGGATACTTGATACGTCAAGATTACCACGTTTTTAGCTTTTGGTCGCAGACAGTATCGATCACCACTTTCTTTCATTTTACTGCTATCAGAAGTCTGAGAGGTTTGTCAACGCCCCACATCGACAGGCTTAAAGAGAATTTGTGGTTTGACTGTTTTGTGTTTTTGAACAACATGCCTTAACATGGCATTCTTAGGATTCTAGAGACACAGAATGAGATTGCTCAACATGCTCAATGGTCTTGCGCGTAGCAGCTGGCGGAACGCCGATGAATCGCGGACGAACACCGGGGGGAGCGCTGATGTGTTCTGGATGTGCACAAATGGGAATGTATTAAGATAGGGAGACCCTCCATCACCAATGGGTTTGGTCAATGGATTCCCTTCGGCCAGAAGGTCGAACTGGGAGGTCTCCCTATTTTAAGACACTCCTATAGATACCTTCATGGTCAATTCATCACTCACCCAGACAAAGCTTTGCATTTTTTTCGGGTCGACATCAGTGATGAGCTGCTGAGCACGGTCACCAAAATCCTGATCTGGCCCATGAGCACAAGGCCTTACTACTAGGAGCAAGGACGCTACTAGGGGCTCCTGGCATCGCTACTAGGAGCAAGGACGCTACTATGAGCACAAGGCTTTCAGGTCACGCGCTCCAACGGTTCCCGGTTCCGTCGTCCTACGCCGCTGGGACGACTCGATCCGACCGGTGGGTCCGGTGGACCTGGGCACAGCCGAACCTGTTGAGCTGGACATCCGTGACTCTGGCAGGCACGAGGTGTCAGCGGTTTTGCACGGGTCCGTGCCCCAGTGGGTGTGAAGACGGGCACAGCGGTCTCCCAGCCCTTTTCGCATGGCGAAGCAAAGAAGCTGGCTTCTTTTGTAAGTCCATGGCAGAGGTGGCTCAGATGTACACAAAGGAAGGGACTGCACGATCTGCAAGCTCCAAAATAGATATCATTGGTGGAAGACTACATAACAAATGTGGTCCTGCTTGACCTCTTCCAAGTGTTGTTGGAACTCTATTGGAAAGGCTACCACACAAATGGTGGAAACTACTGTATGATCTACATGTTGGATGCTGTTTGACAATGTTTCCATGAGCGAATCTCTGGGTGACGGTTCATCATGATGACCAGTTCCGCCAAGGCCCTTGGTGGCCAATCCTGCCGACCTGGGCGATGATGACGAGGAGGAGGAGGAGGAGTGTTCGGCATGTGGGCCCACCGGTGATCTGTCTACCACAGGGTTCTCTACTTTCCCCAGCAAAAACCACAAAGGTTCGGTCCCTTGTTGGAGCATCGTCGGTGCAAAGGGTGTTAAAACAATTTAAGCAGTGAAGACGTCGATTTAAGCATTTGAAGGCCCCTATCATCAAGGGCCTGGCAGAATTGTCTTCACAGGAACGTCGGTTTCTTGTGGTAGTAACACGTAGCAAACAAAAAGAAACAGCATCAACCCTGCTTGAGGCATGGATTCCTTTGAGGCTTGAGTTCACCCGGTGGTTTCGTCCCTGCAAGACGGAAGAATGGGTTCAGGACTCCCATCACGCCAGCAGCATGAGGTGGGTGGGAGGGATTTTAGAGGGGCTGACAACAGCTGTGACGACATCAGACTCTCCAGCTTGCTGTGCGAGGCATGACTTTAAAAAGACTCACTTGGGACCAGACGAGCTGATTGGCTTTGGCGGTGCCACCGCAGTGTATAATCCTATCACCGTGTATATATATATATATACACATCATTACATACGCACATATGTCATGATTATTTATGTTATTATAGGTTGGAGGCCATTGCTTCTAGGTTGGAGGCCATCGCTATTAGGTTGGAGGCCATTGCTTCTATTTTGTGTTTGTAAGAGTAAGAGCCTTTCTTTAAATCGCTCTGCCGAGTCTGGAAGAGCGTTTTGTGGCCAGCTTTGTGTTTGGAACAATGATGTGATCCACCCATCGCTAGGCCCACCTCTTTTTTGCCCAACACGCAAGCGCAGGGCGATGACCAGGCGGACGCATGTTTCACAAGTCAAAGAACGATGACTGTGGGGATGGCAGACAGCATATTGAGTCATATTGACTGCGCGGGTCTTGTTTGGTTCATCAATTCCATTCTCATTGACCATCGTGCATGATTGATTTGCTTTTTGCCCCTGTCTCAGGATCCCTATGCAGATGATGCAGAGGAAGTGCAGGCGCCGCATGAAGCCGGTGTAGAGGTGCTGATGCGTCGCATGAAGCCGGCCGCGGGAGACTTGGAGACCTTCTTGATGGATCATCTAGTAGCGTCCTTGCTCTGTTCGTAGCGATGCCCGTGTTCCGAGTAGTGATGCCCCTTGTTCCTAGTAGCTTCTTGTTCCTACTAATCCGAGCTCCATGGTGTGAAAAGATGACCTCCAGGCTTAGCTGATGGAGACCAAGGTGATTCAGCCACTGATTAGGTCATTAGGTGTGCACAGCTCTATATATCATTCCGTTTTCATACAGAAGATGATGCACCGGATCGTGCCGTTCGTACGAACGCCCGTGCCGCGGGATCTTCTGGATGTGTGAGACCAGCGAGCATGGGCATCCCGATCGCGCGGCGGAGCAGCCTCTTGGAGAGATTCTGCGGAGCAGGGGGTGCTGTTCAGGTGGGGAAGGTGGCTCGCAAAAACGTGCAGCTTCAGATGATCCAGATTCTGAGGTATTCCATGGTGTTACATGGTATTACTATAGTCAGTCACACTCCTGCTAGGCCACTTTCTTTTTTCTTAGAGACTCCGGTGCCTTCCTCTACCCGAACCGTCCACCAAGGCCGTGGCGTGCCTTCTTCTTCAACACGGTCCTCTTGTGTGTGATGTGGTGGGAGGGCCCAGCGAGCCCAGGTGGGCCCAGGCGGGCCCAGGCGTGGCGGACGTTGGGGCGGCTCCGGGGTCGGCCCGTTGCATGCGGTTGCTTCAGCTGCTCGGAGCGGCGACCATGTGTTCCTCGCTTTCGAAGCGAGGTTGGTACTGTAGCTGGTCCCAATAATTTTTTAAACGTAGTTGTTTTTGTACCAGTTTTTTCATACTGTTGTTTCATAGTCACTTGGATGTCCGGTGTGTCCACATAGATGTTTGTAGCCCACCAACCAATGGCTCACACCTCGGTGGCTCACATTCGTTGGTTTTGGGCCACAACATCAGCCGAGTCGACTAGGTCGGTTGTGTCGCCTCAGTCGACTGAGGTGGTGCGCCTCCTTTGTGGCCTTCTACGATGTCTACATCGACCTGCCAGAGTTCACCAAGCGCGCCGGCGAGGGAATGAAGGAGAAGAAAGGAAGGAAGGAGACTCACATGGTAGATCATGGTAGTGAGGGAGGGATTGTGGATGTTAGGAGTTTACTTTTTCACTGTGTTGGTGTTCTTGCAGAATGTTCCCTTTCCGCAGCTTTTCCTGGATTTGCCGTTGCATGGTCTTGGCTACTTAGTGCGACTGCTCCAAGAGCGTTCACACCTGTAACCTGTAACATGCCAAGCAAGTGCCAGGGGTGAAGATGACTCCAACGCCATGAACAGCTGCACGGAACGGGGGAATACGTTCGAACCCTCTTCCAGGGGACGCTATGGACTGAAGCCCGGCGAGGCGCAGCACAGCGGTGTGGTAGCCTCCATGCGTCCAGGTCTTCAGTGGAAGCATTTAACATTGCCTGAGACCCCTGGTGCTTCTCATGGGTCCTCATCTTGGGGTGACTTGCATCTACCTTTTGGGAAACTTGAAGAGTTCAGAAAACGAGGCTAAATTTTTTGCTCCGGCTCTCCGGCTGTAGATGTGCGACCTACACCCCAAATCAAAAAGTCGTGATCCACCATGAAGTCATCATTTTTCTTCGACCGGAGTGAGTCCACTAGGTGGCTCACATGGCCACCCTCGTGGGCGAGAAGCTGGAGACAGGCGCTTCGTGGTGGCTTCGCTCGGAGACGCGAAACGAGAATCTCGCG